TAACCACCCTGCTCCTTATCCCTCTATTTTATTGCTGATAACTATTCTTTGCACCCCCATCCTTGTGATGGAGACAGCATTATGTCATGGGGTCTGAATTTGGGCTCCCAGGTATGTATTCCTATTGGATGGACCTCTTCTTTCTGAGTTTCTTCTATCGAATTCCCTCTGAATCAATCTCCTGTAAATGTGTGTGGAATGATGAGGTTATCTAGTTTCACATTTCCCTTTGTGTAAGTTGACCTTTTTGGTCTCGGTCCTGAAGTCCACTGAACACCTATCAACAACCTTTTAGCCTCTGCTTCCTGCTCCCAACCCTACACCATTAGAGTTTCCAGCATCAGTGTTAGAAGCAGTTTCTTTCAGGATCCATTTTTGTTATTTGAATATTTGTGTGTTTATACATACACAAGCACATAGACATATGTACATAGAATAAATGCTGAAGTCATGAACCAAATGTGATGCCATACAACATCATTTGTTTCTCTTTGGAGACTTTTTTTTTAAATTTCCTTACTCTATTTTCTGTGTGTGATTTCTGAAAAATAATTAGAAAAATATGTTTAAAAAAGAAATGTTTTATTGACTCCTTAGAAGCAGTTATTATATATTGGGTCTGACATGTTATAGTAGATATGATAGAATGGGGTTCAGAAGATATAGTATCTTGAATGCCTAAAGTGTGAGGATATGAAATGTAACAATTAAAAATTAAAATCAGAATATTATTAAGTAAAATAATATAAATTATATATTGATTTACTGATTGAGTATTGAAAGAAGACAAAGTGGAGAGGTGATGTTGGGTTGGGAGCTAAGAGGTCAGGTCAAGTATAAGACCAAGAGAAATCTCTTAGGGTTGTTTCAGGTTTGGGCTTCATACAGAAACAGTCTCCTCACACCTTCATTTATTTCACAAAGATGAATTGACTATCCACAACTTTCTGAGTATGTGCTGGATTTTGGAGGTACAGTTGTTAGTGAGGGATTCATACATATAAGGTTGTTCTTAGCATTGAGTTTGAGTGGAGTAGAGTGCTCAGTCATGTCCGACTCTCTGTGACCCCATGGACTGTGGCTCACCAGGCTCCTCTATCCATGGAATTTTCCAAGCAAGAATACTGGAGCGGATAGCCATTCCCTTCTCCAGAGGTTCATCCAGGGATCGAACCCATGTCTCCTCCATTGGCAGGCAGATCCTTTACCACTAGTGCCATCAAAGAAGTACTTTATATGTGAACTTAAGGTGCAGTATTCGTGACTTCTGTAGGGAGTTTCCTGGTGGCGCAGTGGCTAGTACTTGGCACTCTTACTGCTGGGACCTGAGCTCTATCCCCATTCGGGGAACTAAGATCTCACAAGCTGCACAACACAGCCCAAAAAACAGACTTCTCTAGATAATGTGTTGTTTCATATGTCTTAAATGATGATGGTAATACTGACCGGGGGAACTGTAGGGCTGTTGTGAAAGTTAACAACATGTTATTCAGGTTCTCTTTATTACTATTATTATTACCAATGATTGCTAGGTATATGCGAAGTTAAAAGTGTGACCTTTAACCCTCTGTTTATGGCAAAGCCTAGGAGACAGTGGCACTTTTCTTTTTTTAATGCCTTATTTCTTAAACTTCATCATCCCTGGATTTAGGGTTGGATCAGACAGGTCAGGACATGGAATGACTGCTAGGAAATCATTAGGGGATCACCTCAGACAGCCAAAGTCCATTCTTCTGAGCCCTGTTCTTTTCCCTAAACAGAGTACACCTATTGATTTCAGCAGCTGCCTCTTCCTTGAGTTGAGATTTGCTCTCATGAAAATAACACTTTACTTGTAAATGCTAAAAGCAACGAGTGAGTCTCTTAATTAGAATAATAGCCTATATAAGATTTGGTCCTTAAATATAACAAAAGCTCACATAACTTTTTGAGCTTGAGTTTATATAATTTTGCTCCAGGTCTTACTGTGTTATATCCATTGAGAAACAAATGTCTGTAGCATCTCATAGTTTTAGACAGCTTTCTTCCTCTCAAAAACTTCTAACCAAATAGGAATCTAAGTTTACCTTGTTTTCTAGGCTTTTATTGTTAAAGTATTTCCTGTAGCAATAATGCTCCTGAGGTCTATATTCAACACCATTGAATTATTCATGTTGAAAACTAGAAAGCACTTCTTTGGAACCCACAGTTGAAAACTGTAGTGGGAGTGGTATTTGTTGGTCGTCAGAGAGTAATATCACTCAAAGCCAGGCTGTTTTGCTCACCAGGCCCCCAACAGGCTGCTGGTTCCTAAGACTTACCCATGGTTTCTTTGTGAATGGACACAGTGACTGACTGTGGATTCCTTTCCTTTTCAAATTTAGCTATTTGCAGGGAAATTGAGTTTTTGAATTTTATAAGTTCTTTGTCCTCCTCATTTGAAAAATATTTAAATGATCTTGCCCAAAGGGCACACAGAGAAACAGCGTGACTTTCGGGAAATTAGTAAGCAGTAGAGTTATTTTTAGCTTTTACTCCTAGCAAACATTTCCTTTTGTTCTTTAGAAGACATTGTTGATCTGTTCATTCATGTGCTGTGGTCTTTCCCCAACTGGCTTCAGATAGAATAAGCCCTCTCTACTCTGCGTGACGGAGCTGGCGTTGCTTCTCTTTAATTTTAACTCATGACTTACTCATTTGTTCATGTTTTTCTACATTCTGGGGCACCACCACTAACACATACATACATATACATTTTACTGTTGTTTGGGGTGGATTTTCCCTCTTCCCAGCAAATACTAACCAAAAAATGTTCACACATGCAGACTGTACAAAATTTTTTTGTCAAAATACTGTATAGCAATATCTGATGGTGTAATTTTGTCCTTATTTTCTCTGTTAGTACTTATTTTGCAGTTATAGATACCATCTTTAGAAAGTTATGTGGTTAGTATTACAGAATCCCAAATCCAGGATAGATGGTTACAAAGGCTGGCTGTTACACTTCAATGTCATGTTTGATCTTTGAAAAATCTTCCAGTACTTAGAGGAAATCAGGTTTTTAAGGAAGTACACTGACACTTCACTTTTACTCTTCACATAAAGGCAAGTTTGATATAAGACTAGATCCAAAATGATTTCACCATTTTGTAAAATCATAATTTAACTTTTTTTTTCCTTTGATTTTTTCTGTAAGAGAAGTATTATAGTATCTGTGATTAAAATTGGAGTTCTGACTCAGACCACCTGGTTTAATATCCAGGTTCTACCATTAATCTCAATATGTCTCAATTTCCTCATCTCGTAAATGGAGATTGCAATTATTATACAGTTGTTTTGAAATTTAAATCAGATAATCCATGAAAAAGCCTAGCAAAACACCTAACGTAGTAAAGTCTCAATAGATGTTGGCTATTATAATTATTGTATAGAATTATTTTCTCTATAGTGTAGGCTGTAGTTATTTTTAGAAGATTATATACAAGAAAGAGGCAAAAATATTCAGTTTTTCTGGAGCCCTTGATTTTTTCCCTGTAAGAATTTTTTATTGGACTGTCCTCAAACAGAGGTTACCCAGTTCCATTGCCTAGTGAATTTAGTTTCCCTTGGCCCATCAGTATTTGAAGCTCTTCATATCTGGAATCAGCACAGTTATAATAGGAAGTCAAGCAGAACATTTTTTTGCATAAAGAGAGGGAGGCCGAATGTGAGGTGGCATTGACATCTGTGCCTCTGCCCTGGGCCAAAAGCAGAATGGCCCATCTGCTGCCTCCTCCGCTGGTGACGCCCCCTCCTCTCCCTTCGTTCCGTTTAGAGCCCTGGGGATGATGAAGTCAGGGAGAGAATACCAGGATGTGAAGCATCTAAAGAGGGAAGCAGGACAGAGGTTCAGAGGAAGATAATAGAATCACTCCCATTCTGCAGCTGACCCAGTTGGGTAAATGCTAAGTATTCCTCTGCCAATAGCGATTTTACGTGAGTTCTCTGGATGATGTGAAGGCTGAAAAACACCAGCCTGTCTAATGAATTCCCATCTTTCTGGTTAAGAGCTTTCCTGACATCTGATTCAACAATTTACTAAACTTTCCTTTTTTAAATAAAACTTTTTTTCTAATGCTTAACCAACACCCTCAGAATAAGTCCTTTATTTTTACAAGGGGTACTTTAACTTCTGAGTATATCCTTTGTTTTTCTTATAGCTGCATTAAACTCACCTCGCTTACCAACTATTATATGATGCTAACTCCTATTGTAGAGGTTTCTTGTTTTAAGGTAACATCTTCTACCCAATCTGAGAGGTACAACTCAGGCTTTCTACAATATGGTTGTTTTAGAAAAACTTATTTAAAGCTTAAAGCACAAAACATCATACACCTGAAAGGGATATCAGTCTATAATGTTGTAATTTAACTCTTTAACTGATTTTGATGAAAACCTGAGTAGTTAAGTTATAGATTGATAAATACGCCAGAAAGGCATGTACTGAGTAAGCAAAAATATGCAAATAGCAAGGGGAACTAGGGAGAGATTGTCTTAGATTATGAATCTCTTCAATTTTAATGGGAAACTCTTTTTTTTCTGACCAAACTGCTCAGCTTGCATAATCTTAGTTTCCCCAACCAGAGATTAAACCTTCGCCCTTGGTAGTAAAAGCGCTGAGTCCTAAATCACTGGACCACCAGGGATGTCCCTGGGAAATTCTTTTAAAACATTTTTACTTTCAAAGCTTAAGGTTTCTTTTAACTTACACTAATTTTTTTCAGTTATGATTTCCTGATGATTATTTCAAGTGTGTCTGTGATTCAGAAGAAAGAAATATTATTTTAATGTAGATATTTGGGGACTGTTTTTCAGGCTGCTTGGCTACTTGTTTTATTTTCATTTAAATTTGAGGTTATCCTCATCTTAATCCAAAGTTGACTCTGATTCTGACTTAAGTTTTGGTGAGTCGATTATAAGTCATCATATATGTAGTTTTCATTCACTGCTTTTTAAAAAAGATTTTTATGTTTACTTTCTAGACTGACTTTGCACGATTTAGTGGAACAAATGTGGAAACTGACTTCGTAGAGGTGCCATCACAAATGCTTGAAAACTGGGTGTGGGACGCTGATTCCCTCCGAAGACTATCTAAGCATTATAAACATGGAAGCCCTATTACAGATGATCTGCTTGAAAAGCTTGTTGCTTCTAGACTGGTCAACACAGGTATGACTTACCGTTTTAGAAAATGAATTAGAATTGCTTCATGGAGAATTGCTGGCATCTTTTTTAGGTAAGAAGTGGATTTATTTAGAGAAATACAGTTTCCATAGACAGAATGTGGACCGTTTCAAAAAGCAAGAGTGGCTCCGGGGCCTGGGGTCATGTCAGAAAGTGAGAACAGCAGTGAGAAAAACACACTCCGCAGACAGAGGGTAGGCCATCTCAGAAGGCAAGAGGTCTGCTGGCGTCTTCTTCTATAGAATTTATTTCCTCTTTTGTAATGGTAGCACCCCAGAGTGTTAACATGAGTTGGGAAGGCCACTAAGCATATTGGAATACTGAACACTGGAATTATATCCAAGAAGAAAAGATGCATTTCCTTTTAAATCTTAAATAGAATGAGGTGGCTTGCTCCGACCTTGTAATGAATACTATTAGAATCCGTTTATGAAATCTCTGATCTTGTGATATTAGGACATGTAGTTCTCTCTTCTCCCAAACTTGCCGAAACATTCTTATGTTATTAGGTCTCCTGACCTTACGCCAGATTGTTTTGAGCAAAGTTGATCAGTCTCTCCACACCAACACTGCGCTGGATGCTGCAAGTGAATATGCCAAATACTGCACAGAAATTTTAGGTGTTGCAGCTACTCCAGGTATGTAAATATACTCACTGCAGGTTCCTTCTTCCTGGGAAGCACAGGGTATGCTCAGCACTGCTAGAGAAGGCAGAGTGTGTCAGGCAGATTACCTAATATAATTTATTTCTGATTTCTGAAACCAGGCCATGACTTTCAGATAAGCATACTTTTGTCCTTATGAGTTATCCTGTCCAAATGTGCTTGAAGGGAAGGCGGCTCCAACTCTGCAGCATTTTAGTGTAATCAGGCGTGAGCAATTGGCCTCCACCCAGGGCAGAGAAAGCCATTCAGTTTGGGAGCATGGCCTGGCCCCGCCCTCCCTGTGTGCCCCGTGACTTCTGTAGGATTTCAGTAAGACACTGGCACGAGGGACATTTTAGAGGAAGGTGCAAACTTCTGCCTTGTGTCTGATTCTGCTTCCGAGGTCAGTTCAGGCAGTTTGACTTTCTAACCTGATATGATTTATGAGACTCATGTGAGTGGGTGGGAGATGGTCAGACATACGCATTACATTTATATTTATTTATTTCAAGCAAACATGTAGCTGTGATGTAAACATAGTTGGAAAGGTGACTTTTTTCGATCAAAGAAGCTATTGTCTAATTGAGGCAGTCACTTTTCTAGTGATAATAAAGGTAGCAACAGCGCTGAGTCTGTCCAGGCCCCTCACTTCCTTTTGTGATCTAGTACACTGAACAGCAAACTTTGGGCCTCAGGCTTCTCTGACAAAATCCTTTCTGTAAAGTAGCCCTGGAGGTAGATTGAATCTACCTTTTTTTAGCTTTGCAAGTAAAGAGTTCTTTTTCAGTAATTATGAACCTCAAGTAAGTACCATTCTGACCCATTTTAGATATAAATGGGTGTGACAAAGAGAAGGCTCAATATTATTAGAATATTTATAAGACACATAGGTGTCTAAGGGACAAGAAAGGACTGAGTTGTCTCTTGGGTGTGGACAAAGCCTCTGAAACTATTGTTAGGCATTCCAGAGCATAGGGCCGAAACCAGCTCTGAGGTGGAGCTGTCAGAGGAGAGAAGTTTGTAAACATCTTGGCCATAAACACCCATAAACCCTGGGAGTGCTAGAGGTGACTAGAAGTGAGGACCTACCACTGTCTCCTCCCATAGCTAAACTCCCCATAGGGAAGCCTTAGCTAGCTGAGAACCTGATATTCAGCTTCTGACATCACATTGTTTGAAATGTATCTTTTTTTAAAGGCACAAATATGCCAGCAACTTTCGGACATTTGGCTGGGGGGTATGATGGCCAATATTATGGATATCTTTGGAGTGAAGTATTTTCCATGGACATGTTTTACAGCTGTTTTAAAAAAGAAGGGATAATGAATCCTGAGGTATTGTATTTTTTTTCCTCCTTTTTTTTTACTTCTATACTTGCCCTATCCCCCTTAACTCCTAGTGTGAAATATTTTTTACACCTAGATTTTGAGAGTAAGAGATCTGGTAACAACTTCTAACTTTAAAAGTCTAGCATCTTCTCACATCATCATACATCATACATTTGCTTTGTATAGGTGATTAATTCTGTAATTTGGGGGAAAAAAAAAGCCTACTGCATTTTCTTGCTTATTAGCATTCCATTATATTGCATAATTAAAATTCAAAGCTTTGTTTATGCATCTGTGCATTTATAGCTGCTAGTTTTGACATGTGTCGTACAGTGTTTTCGTTTTATAGGTTGGGAAAGAAAGGTAAACTCCTTCCTGATATAAATGATCTGCCTACGTTTTGATACACTCTACACACTTTCATTATACGTTTTCTGTGGAAGTCCCCCTTTTTTCTGTGACTGGCACACGCCACCTACAACACAGAGCGTGTAACCTAAATGCCTCTGAGTACTTTAAGCTGCTTCGTTAACCTGAGCCGTTCCTTTCCGTGAACAGCGACTTGACTGCCAGGTGGCTGCCAGCCAAGCCTTCCTGAGTTACAGTTCCTCTGTCTCCATTCTTGTTGAAGACTCAGCTGTCAGATTATTTCCAGGGCTGATGATTTTCCAGTGTTTTTTTCATTCTGTTTGATGCAGAAATTAGAAGAACAAAGTGTCAAAATCAGATTCTCTGTGTGTATTTCAACCGACTTATTCTCAAAACTTTGTGTTTCTGGATTGCATACTACCTTACACATGAGCTCTGAAATGACAGATGTGATGTAGACCACCATCCCTTCTCACCACCCTTCGCCCCCAAAACACCACCTTCAGGGCACCTGCGTTCTTTTCTCTAGCCTTTCCAATCCCTTCATCTTCCATCTGTCCTACCCAGGCTCTTAGGTCCCTGTAAGTCTCCTTCCATCCCCTGGCAACCCCACTTAAAGAACGATCAGCCACTGGCCTATTCTCATAAATACCCTGACTTCTGCATGACCTTCAGCCAGTGTCCATCCCTGGACTCCTCTACCATCTCATTTAGAGATGGTACCCTTGGGGTTCAGATTCCCCTTCTGCAGAATATCCCGAGGCTCCATTTGATGCCCCACTGCAGAGTCCGGCTGTCTGGACCCCCAGCGTAACTCCACAGTCCTGCTCACTTCTCTAATTGGGGTCCCCACCACCTGTCTCCCACTCAGCAAATGCTCTGTCCTCTCTACTAAGGACATTAAGAGCATTGAAAGTGAGTACCTTCATCTTCAACATTTAACTTCTTCCCTCCTGTCTCAGAAGACAGGTCTGTAATACTAAGACTCACCGGTTTACCATCTCAGGAAAAAACTGACCCCTGACTGATCATCTCAGTGCTCCCACTGAGTCATCCTTCCTTTCACAGCCTACTGTCTGGGTGTAAGAATCAGTTTCTGCACACCTCTGCCTCCTGGCTTTTGCCTCCAGCAACTGAATTGGAAAGTTGTTACCCTCCCCTCCAGAGTAACCACTGATGATCCAGTTGCCAACTCTCAAAGGCCCTCGTCCACCTTTTGTCTTGTTTTATTCCTGCCTCTCGGTATTCCTCTTTGTCACAGCCCTTAGCTAAGCAAACAGATCCCGTTCTGAACAGAGTTCCCAGAACTCTCAGCCTGGCAGCCAGATTTCTGTGTCCCCTTGGGTCTTTCCTCCTTCACAAATTTATTCATTCTGCTTCTTCCACCTAAAATCTATGCTTTCCTTGTCTGTGCCTCTCCAGAACTCTGCCATTCATAAAGGCCCTATTCAAACAGCCACTCGTTCATGAAGTCTTCCAGATCACTGAAACCAGAAGTGATCTTTCCATCCTCTGAACAGAAGAGTGAACTTGGGCATGGGGTATATGGTTTCAATAAGCTTTTTCTTGTGTCTGGAATGTTTAATAAAATTATCTTACAGAATGACAAAATCAGGTTATAAAATATTTTACACCATAGAATGTGAATTCTGATTTTAAAATATACATTTAGAAAAAAAGTACATCAAAATATTGTCCATTATTATCTTTGGTAAGTTTATGGTTACTCAGTGTTTTCCTGTACTTTTTATGGAGCTTTTCCTTATGTTTACATAGAGCATGGATTATTGTAGAAGTCAGAAGACAGTGTTTAAAGAGACACAAGGTCCAGGTATGTAAGAGTACAGTTGTGACCTCCACCAGCTCTTAAGTCATTGGCGAGGCTTCCTGGCGTAAGTGCTACGTCGCCTCCGCTCCACTCACGTGACCACACCTCAGGAGCCTCCACTGTCTGCTCTCCTCTCTCAGCTATCACAGTAACAGTCAAAGGACTGATTCCAGTGGATCCCAAGGAACTTGCAGTTCCGGCAGGAGGGATCCCTGCCATCACGCCTCTATGTGCCTCCTTTCTTCTCAGGCTTCACTGCTTGGCAGGCAGCCAGACTGCTCTTAATTCAGACAGAAGGGCAGGGTTGAACGTGGAGGAAGCAAGATTCCCTACGACCTGGAGTTGTTGCCTTGTGGTGTCAAAGCCTGTTTTAAGTTTGAAATTCTAGATTCAGCTGTGCAATATATTATTACTTATGCCAGGAAGTTGGCTTTAATCCCTCCTTTTCTCCTTCCTGTTAAATGCTCTGGAACATCATGTCGCTTCCTGTCCCGCTGCTGGAACAGCAATAGTGAGTCCGGCTCCAGAGGCCGAGAAGAATCCACTGCACCCACCCTCACGCTCTTCAATTCAAATACCCATTTATTTAAAAACTGACACTTTGGAATAACAATCCTGTTCTACAGAAACTTCTGTCATTATTACAACTGTGTCATGATGAAGGGAAAGAATTCTTGTGGGATGAAGAGGTGCTGAATTTGATCTGAAGCTGTGGATATCAGAGCAGGCACAATATATCACACAGTCTTGTTGTCTCAAGACCCCTCACCCTCCCTGGTACATATATTTGGAGCATTTTGAGAAAATAGCAGGATGGCCCATCAAGGAGTCAGTACCTGCTTTTCTTAGTCCCCAAGCTCTAGAGAGGCTGGGGGCTGAAAGATCATGTATAGACATTATTGTTCATGGTCATTAGTATCAACAGAAGAGCATCTCCAGGCCTTACCTCTAACCTCTTACCATCCTGCAAAGCCTGGGGTCTAAGAACCATTTTAGATCTCAACAAGCAGAACTGCAGAAGTGTGCTACTCACTGGGAAAACAATAGTAGGAGGGGTCAAATATAAGCCTGCAGTCTTCTGTGCCCTACATGTTAGCAACAAATATTTTATAGTACAGTTGTTTGATAGCCTCTATCAAAGGTTTAGAACTGGCTGCTTACCTGAAATAGCCTGAAAGTTTGCTACCTCTGGTTTTATCTCTAATTTTCTCTGATCTTCATAGTAATTAGGTATAACATCTTAACTGTATAGTTTGTTAAATATTGCAGTATCTTTAGTTTTTACTTTTTCAACCCACCTCTTAAATATCTTTAGCTTTTACTTTTTCAATTCATCTCTTAAATAACTATGGAAGGGAGCTACTTGGGAGTAACAGTTTCCCAGCAAACTCTAGGAGCTCTTTCAGGATCCCTTTAAGGTTCCAAAACGTGGTTTCAAAATCCAGCAGCTAATCGTAGGGTTGAAAGAATGAGGACATTTTAACAAGGGCCATTTATTTTTATAATGCAACTTCATTGTGGGAAAATTTCCTAAAAAGTAATAGACATGCAGATTCAAAGGCAATTATATTGTTAAGCTAGAATTATGTTCCTCCTCTTCTGCATTTAGAGTAATTGCTAAGCTTTGTTTTTTTCCATTAGTGAAGAAGAATTATAGCCAAGTATCACATGCAGAAAGGAATACTGAGAAAGTCAAAGATAGTTGAGTATAACTGTCCACAATGCCATAAGGAAGTACCTAGATCTTGCATACAATAATGGACAGAGAAACAAAGAATCTTGGCTAAACAGGAAGAATAATTACGTGACAGGGAATTTCCTGATGGTCCAGTGGTTAAGACTCCATGCTTCCGCTGCAGGGGACACAGGTTTGGTCCCTGATCAGGGAACTGAGATCCCACATGCCGTGTGGTGCAGCTAAAAAACTAAAGAGAAAAATTACCTGATAAAGTGTATTATAAAGCTAAGTATTCCAGGGACTAGGGCCAATTTCTGCTTAAATGTGTTGCTAGGAGAGAACATGAAATTTGCTCTCCTGATGGGCCTTACAAGTGGATTAAATTCTGTTTCAGCTTCTCTGACCTACCACCCCAAAGCTAGTTTTTCTTACACTTCAACTTATTCTAACAGTGTTAAATTCTGCCTGATTTAAAGGAAAAAGAAAGGAAATGGGGTTGATGTTCAACCTACTTCTTGAATATTTACAACGCCAGACCTTCTAAGCCTTGAATTCCAACCAGCTGGAAGCAGTTTTTCTTTCTTTTTCTGTTCCTCCAGCCCTTCTTTGTGTTTCTGTTAGAGCTCTAGTAATCTGCCTTGCTAATTGTCTATTTCTTTATCTCACCTTCTGGATCATAAGGCTCTTGTAATAGGAACTGTTTTATTCATTTTGGTGTTCGTCCTCTGCATCAAAATACTTATATTGCTGGACCCAACTGGTAGCTCTCCAACCTGCTTCCTCTCATCGGTTCCCCTAATACACAGGACTGACCAGGCTGCCCTTTTTCCTCCAGGTCTCCTCCCTCCCCGTAAATATTTACTCATCCCTCCTCACAAATTGAAACTTAAGTTTTCCAGAAGACCTCTTTGAGTCAAGGGGAGATTCCTACCCTGTTCTGACTACCAACACCAGTCTTTCACCTTCTCCCCCCTTCCTCTTTGTCGTCAAAGGCATTCTTTTTCCCACTCACAACCTCCCCACCCTCATTCATAGGAAACAAAGGAAGTGCTGTGGGAAGAAGTGTACAGACGAGCTATGGAAGGACAGGTTTCAATACCCACTGTAAAAGCGGGCTGGTGAGCCTGTTAG